GCCTCAAATGTACCCTTTTTTCCCCCTGGGTAAACAGATCTTTCTCATATTGCAATGATCGATTTTATTTCTTTCACATTAAGTACTGTACTAGTAAATATGTGAAATGACAAACTCACTTTGAAGGTTGGCTTTCATACACATCAGTATTAAGTTTAGATCAAAAGTTACCTCAAGGTGCATTTACTGTTAACATGACTCGATCAAACAGAATAGAGGAAAGAAGAGAAAAGAACAACTGACAAAAAACTAATGAAGATGGTACAATGGTGGGCGCCAAGATCCCACTGGGATCTCTTGTTTTTTCTTGCGTTGAACGCAGTCCAGATAACGGTTGTGCATGTGAAATCGAAAGTACTGCGATCGGGATTATATGCACTGTTGTAATAGGAAACAACTTCCTCACGTTTCAAATTTTCCTGGCTTTCACGAAAGAGAGACCACCAATGTGAACACATTTTGAATTGTGTACAGGCTTTACCTATACCTGAATGCTAAACTTCCGAGTCACACAAATGGAACACTTCCGGAAGTAGGGAGATACTAATACGAGCGCGGAGGCGGGTGATTCTGGGTCATGTTGATTGAATGTGGGAGATTTGTATTACCAACCTGGGTCAAAAGTTGGTCGCGGGTGATAGGTTAATTTTGCGGGTGTGGCCAGCAAAATACGGTTCATCTAGTAGGTATGATATGACTTATTGATAATCAAATGGCCTTGAGTCCAGTACATACATTTGAAAGAGTACTAGATGCAGTTTCTTCCTCATATCAATGACCTTAACCTACTTTCAATGTCACAGGGACTAATTATGTTGATTCCTGCTACATCCCCAGGATGAGCCAATTATAACGTCATAAGAAACAATCATTCAAAAGTTCAAGCAATGGGGTAACATACTACAATTAACAAAATAAACCTACACGGTAGTTGCAGTGGGGATGGTTGAATTCGTCTGTAACCATTGCGAAGCATGTGGGCTGCTTCGTTATCAAAAAATGTCCGCCTGTCAAGAGTTCAAGGGAAGGGAGACAACTCCAGAAAGAAAAAAAATATGAGACAGCACAATCAGATTATGTACAAAGCGTATTCTTAATGACATAGGAGACAAGTTTCTTTTTGTTTTAGTTTGCAAAAGATATAAGGTATTTAAAATGTTGTGTCTGGTTAGGTTTTAAATATCCACTTGTTTATACATTTTACCCTACCTATTTTTCTTACCTTTTTTTAGATGAATATTCTAATTGCTGAAATGATTCAGTGCAAAAGAGGCAATTAGTTGTTCATCACAGTGATCTGAGGATGGATGAGGAGGAGGAGGAGGAGGGGTCAGAGGGGGAGATTGAACCAGAGTATTCTGGTATGGAGCAGCCCCCTCTCACGCGTATGCTAAAGAACATCTTGTCGGAGTACCCTGACGATGGCCAGATTCTCAAGGTAAATCAGCCATAACGAAGTAGACTTACCTTAGTGCTTATCAAAGGTGCTCATAATAAACCTCTTGAAAGTTTAGAACAGATTAAGGCTAAAAAGTTCCTGTTTTTTCAGAGAACATCTAATGATGAGAAGGACATAATGCTTGATAAAGAGATGAGGAATTTGAGCTCCATAAATATGACAAAAGTACCTTTGGCCAGATTTCACATTTATTTGTAGAATTCAAACAAATAGCGGGGTGTACTACAGTCTGTTTCAACTGCGATGTATTTGAGCTGATTGACTTATTTATTTATCTGTGTGCAGGAGCTGATACAGAATGCTGAAGATGCTGGAGCATCAGAGGTGAAGATACTGTTTGACGACAGAGATATCAACCAAGAAGCCTGCAATGAAAAGAAAAAACCTTTTAATAAATATTTCAAGGTAAATATGAGTTTTTTCCTTGTAAAGCCAATAAATGTTTGTGTGATCCCTTGGCTGTGACTAACAGTGACTACACACTAAGGCATTCTTTTACTGCATACATAGTAACACAACAATCATACAGGTATCCCCTTATCTACATACAAACAACACATACAGGTATCCCCTATCTACATACATAACAAATCACATACAGGTATCTCCTTATCTACATACATAACAAATTACATAGAGGTATCCCCTTATCTACATTGTTAAAAAATGTTTATTTTTGTGAGGCAATGTCTGATGTTCTTTCGCTGATCAAAATATAAATCTATCAACGTCAAGTATCAAATCAAAATGACGTTTCAGAATGTAAGCCAATATGTTACGAAATATTTTGAATGCAAACCTTTGTTTGTATGCAATCACCAGTTATCCAACATATTAGGTGTTCTACATGGGACGTGTGTATCTTGCATACACATTGGTGGGAGAAACATGAACTATCATGACTACACAGTGTGCCATAGAAGTAAGTCTCGTGATTATTCAATGTGTTATAATGGTTTGTACCCGGACAGAGAATGCTCTTACAAATTGAGGCAAAGAACAATTTCTTGTACAGGGAAGCCAAAATGCAGTTGAAATCCTATGTATGATTAAAATCTGCCACACTACTCAAAGTGAGATTAATTTCTTAACATATACTAAATTATACATTCCAGGGTCCAGCCTTATTCTTTCACAACAATGCCATATTCTCTGATCCTGACTGGAAGGGGATAAAGATGCTGTACAGCAGTGTGAAGGAGTTGGATCCGTTAAAGGTCGGACGCTTTGGACTTGGCTTCAAGTCTGTTTTCCATATAACAGGTGAGACATATCAGGTATCACATTTAAAGCATGTAGCATATATATAGGATCTTACATGAGTTTTTCATTTCATAAATTTCATATGAAATGAAAACGAGTGTAAGATCCTTTTATCACATAATCATGATTTGTAGCATTTATTTGTGTAAAACAACAATTTTCATGCAACCTTGAAATGTAAAAACGCCATTTTGACTCCAGTGCGTAGGTCTGTGACGTCATGTTCTTATCCTAGTCGTGACAAAACAATTGAAACGTACAACCAATCACAGGGCTGATAGGTTATATGTCACAAAAGTTAATTCACCAAAAAATATGACAGGGTATATTCACTTGATAACACAGTTGATTATGTGATAAAACCATTAATTAGAAAAGGCATTAACATATTACAGGTAAGGAATATCACAGGTTATTTATTCCACTATCCTGATATTACATATCAAAGGTAATAGATAACTCATACTACAGGTAATATATAGCACTTATAATAGGTAAGATATGACATATATCACAGGTACGGGACACAAATAACAAGTAACAAATAATACAAAATGTACATATCACAGGTAACATGACATTACATATTATGCATTAAAAATAACACGCGACACATATCACAGGTATCAGATAACACATATCACAGGTATCAGATAACATATCACAGGTGAGATATAACATATATCACAGGTATCATGTCATACATATCACAGGTAACATATCACAGGTATCACATAACACATATCACAGGTGAGATATAACACATCACAAGTATCATGTCATACATTGTACATATCATCCTTGTTATATTTAATGCAGATCACTGGTAAGGTATTACAGGGTTTAATGACAAAACACATACCACTGGTAAGGTATGACAGGATATAATTACATAAAACAGACCACTGGTAAGTATTATAGGGTTTAATTACATAACACATACCACTGGTAAGGTATTACAGGGTTTGATTACATAACATATACCACTGGTAAGGTATTACAGGGTTTAATTACATAACACATACCACTGGTAAGGTATTACAGGGTATAATTACATAACACATACCACTGGTAAGGTATTACAGGGTATAACCACATAACACATACCACTAGTAAGGTATTACAGGGTATAATTAAATAACACATACCACTGGTAAGGTATTTCATGGTTTAATTACATAACGCATATCACTGGTAAGGTATTACAGGGTTTAATTACATAACACATACCACTGGTAAGGTATTACAGGGTATAATTACATAACACATACCACTGGTAAGGTATTACAGGGTATAATTACATATCACATACCACTGGTAAGGTATTACAGTGTTTAATTACATAACACATATCACTGGTAAGGTATTACAGGGTTTAATTACATAACACATATCACTGGTAAGGTATTACAGGGTATAATTAAATAACACATACCACTGGTAAGGTATTACAGGGTATTACAGGGTTTAGATAATAGAAGAAGGTGAATATTGAATTTTAGCTCTCTTTTCACATTTCTGTTTGTTAGTGATGCCTTCAACACAATGTTACAGGAAAGCTCAAATGCTTGACAGTTTTATTTAAGTAACATCTGTGAATAGAAGAAGTATATCATTAACAAATTAATTAAGAAATCTTATAAATAACATGTAGTAAACTTCCGGATTAAGTCTGTTTGCTCTTTGTTTCAGATTATCCGATGGTTGTTTCTGGTAAGAAGCTACTGGTCATAAATCCCTACACGACATACTCAGACAAGGTTTGCACAAGCTTCCTCTTAAAAGGGTTGTCCAGATACAAAGGAATGGACATGGAAGCCTTCAGTGATGCTTTTGATGACATATTTGGGTTTGGAGAGGAGACTTTGAGCAGTGGTGAGTACAAAGGTACTCTGTTCAGGTTTCCACTGCGACAAGTTGGAACAGAACTGTCAGGGAATTTATATGATCAGGAGAAAATTGAGACTCTGTTTGATTCCTTTACAACAGAAGCACCTATGACTCTCTTGTTCCTAAAAAACCTTGAGGAAATGACTTTATACAGAAAAAATCCTGGAGTTGAGCCTATTTACAGGGTAAAAATTGAAGGCAAAGAGTCAGAAAATTTACTGGAGAAGCGGAAGAAATTCTGCCAGGCTCTGCAAGAGTATAACAGAAGTAGCATGTCACATGATTTGAGATATAGCCTTCATGTGAACGTAAGTGTTGAGACAACTGGTCAGTATGGCTTGCAGGAGAACAAATCATGGTTTATTGTCAATACAGTTTTGGGAGACAGCCATATGTCCACCCAATTCCGTGCTCTTTCCCAGGACAAAGACTTGTCTTACAGTCCTTATGTTGGGATTGCCATTCCCTACGAGGACATTGCAGATTTCAAAGGACATGTCTTCTGCTTCCTTCCTCTTCCACTGGAGGAGCGCAGCTTGACAGGATTACCTGTTCACCTGAATGGATTCTTTGCTTTGAGCCAGAATAGGCGCCATGTAAAGTGGCCGTCAGCTGATCTGAAGCAATCTGCCATAAGTGCAGACAAATCCCTACAATGGAACCAGGTTCTGATCAAGGAGGCCCTGTCCCAGGTCTACTTGACTGTGGTACAAGATTTGATCACCAAGTGTTCAGGGGCAAACAATCCTGTTGACCTCGTTGCCATGGTTTACAGATCCATCCCACATCTTCATACAGTGGATGTAAAGTGGTGCGGTATCCTTGATCCGTTATTGAACAGTCTCCTGCAGACACACTTCCTTTACACTGAGAACAATGGAGGTCGGTGGATACAACCTAAAGATGCAGTGTTTGAATGTCCTGATTACGATACTGGTATGTATGTGTAGTTATACAATGTGATTATGTATATTATATGAAATTATTTATTCTAAGTTATTTCAGCTAATATTGATAATTCCTGTTGACCAGCCTGTACAGGGGCCTTAATGTGGGAGGAAACCAGAGTACTCTGAGAAAACCCTTCGTCTGGCAGGTGATCCCCATACCTTTTCACATTCGATCAATCAAATGGTATACATATGGTTAAGCACTGCTCCTTTGTCTTCTGGTTCTTTTCCTGGTTCAAAGGGTAATTAGGTGGTGCAGTGGATAACACTCGTCTTTCACAAAGTCAACCGGAGTTGAGTTTCCCTATGCACATGAGAAGGAATTGGGTCAGCTACCCAACTTCGCAAGGCTTTTCAAGGTATTAAGGTTTCCTCCCATATGTTTCCCAACACAACTTTGATTTCAAGTCTCTAAAAACAACATTGACATGATGTTTTTAAATTCAACATTGACAACATGTCTCTAAACACAACATTAACATCATTCCTCCAAACACAATATTGACAANACATCATTCCTCCAAACACAATATTGACAACATTTCTCGAAAAACAATATCAAACAACATGCCTGGAAATACAACATCGACGACATGTCTCTCAACACAACATAGATATCAAGTCTCAAAACACAACATCATGTCTCCAAACACAACATTGACAACATGTTTCTAAATTTAACATTGACAACATGCCTCTAAACACAACATTGACCTCAAGTCTCTAAACACAACATTAACATCATTCCTCCAAACACAATATTGACAACATTTCTCGAAAAACAATATCAAACAACATGCCTGGAAATACAACATCGACGACATGTCTCTCAACACAACATAGATATCAAGTATCAAAACACAACATCATGTCTCCAAACACAACATTGACAACATGCTTCTAAATTCAATATTGACAACATGCCTCCAAACACAAGATTGACCTTAAGTCTCTTAACACAACATTGACATGATGTTTTTAAATTCAGCATTGTCAACATGTCTCTAAACACAACATAGACGACATGTCTCCAAAAACAGCATTAACAACATTTCTCTAAAAACAGTATCAAACAACATGCCTGGAAATACAACATCGACGACATGTCTCTAAACACAACATAGATATCAAGTTTCAAAACACAACAGCATGTCTCCAAACACAACATTGACAACATGTCTTGAAACACAACATCAACGACATGTCTGTAAACACAACATTGACATCAAGCCTGTAAGCACAACATTGACAAAATTTCTCCAAACACAACATTGACAACATTTCTCCAAACACAACATTGATTACATGTTTCTAAATTCAACATCGACAACATGTCTCTGAACATAACATTGACATAAAGTCTCTAAACACAACATTAATATCAAGTATATACACAACATTGACATCAAGTCTCTGAACAGAACATTGACAACATGTCTCTAGAAACAACATTGACATCATGCCTCCAAACACAATATTGACAACATTTCTCGAAAAACAATATCAAACAACATGCCCGGAAATACAACATCGACGACATGTCTCTCAACACAACATAGATATCAAGTCTCAAAACACAACATCATGTCTCCAAGCATAACATTGACAACATGTTTCTAAATTTAACATTGACAACATGCCTCTAAACTCAACATTGATATCAAGTCTCTAAACACAACATTGACATGATGTTTTTAAATTCAACATAAACAACATGTCTCTGAACACAATATGGACAGCATGTCTCTTAACACAACATTGACATCAAGTTTCTAAACAGAACCTTGACAACATGTCTCTAAACACAACATTGACAACATGTTTCTAAACACAACATTGACATCATGCCTCCAAACACAATATTGACAATATTTCTCTAAAAACAATATTAAACAACATGCCTGGAAATACAACATCGACGATATGTATCTCAACAGAACATAATATCAAGTCTCAAAACACAACATCATGTCTCCAAACACAACATTGACAACATGTTTCTAAATTTAACATTGACAACATGTCTCTTAACACAACATTGACAACATGCCTCTCAACACAACATTGACCTCAAGTCTCTTAGCACAACATTGACATGATGTTTTTAAATTCAACATTGACAACATGTCTCTAAATACAACATTGACAATATGTTTCTAAACACAGCATTGACATCATTCCTCCAAACACAATATTGACAACATTTCTCGAAAAACAATATCAAACAACATGCCTGGAAATACAATATCGACGACAAATCTCTCAACACAACATAGATATCAAGTCTCAAAACACAACATCAT